AACAGTAATATTTGTTTGACAACAAGAAAACATAATTTCGATGTGCTGGGGTAGACTCCATGAGTGGAACTTTCGATACCGCCGTCAATACATGATATTAAAATTAACGATACCAGGTTTTAACGGTGAAAACATGCAGTGTAAAGAAAGAAACATTCATTTCTTACTTTACACCGATGCCGCGGCAGTGTAAAACGGATGAAAACCTTATACCTGGCAGTGCCGCAATATTGCACTGCTCCGTTGCTTCTAGAAACCTAAGGGGACCAATTAAGTAGGTCATGCTTTCATGGCATTTAAACGCCGGAAGCGCGTAGGACTCCAAACCGCGTCTCTTTTTTGGGTTGAACAAAGAAATGCTCAAGCCCAAACATTACGATTCATAGGCGAAAAACGAAAACATAGCCCTGATGTTCTGGGGTAGACTCCATGAGGGGAGTTTTCAAAACCATATTAAACCCATTTTGCTTCAGCACTTTAAAAACGGTTATTTGCTTAGCAAGAGAAATAAGGATTTGCCGGAAGAGAAACATGGGTAAATGAAAGGAGTCAGTGCACTTTGTATTACTAAACACGTATATTCATCTTGAATTTTTTGTCATCCTCTCCGTTGTTCAAAAGACATTTTCGCATGTCATTTGCTTCGACCTGTGTAAAAATTAAATCACCACCGATAGAGCTGAATTAAAATGGCAGAAAACAAGTTTGTGGTAAAGTGTTGAAGTTACCTTCATTTAGCAGTGGATCGACATAGGTTGATGACGATGATTTTTCTCTCTAATTTTGTTAAAGCATCCAAGTTGCTCATAACTGCAATAAGTTTAATTCCGTTATTTTTGATATTCAGAATGTGCTTCGCTGAACTTGTCTGAATTGATTATGACGAAAAAGTCAGTTGCTTTCTTCCAAGACCATGAACTTTTTCTCATGAAATCTCAACGGATGTGGAAGACTGACTGCGCAATCAATCCAATACCGAAGAATTTATGGTGGATCGGCTGGAAGAAGGACGGTGAGCAACGTATCTGTGCGGACACTAAAACGTTGCTCACAGGAAGTCGACTGCCTTTCAACAAGATCAGCCACATCTACTGCTGCTTCTTTAAAATGATGCAGTTCAATTTCTTCAAGCGTGAACTGCAAAATAGGAAGAACGCAGTATTCGACTTCAACAGTTGCCTGCGCGAAGTGTTTGCCCATAAGATGGGACAGGACGACGGCGCGATGATCGGTGGGCCTCAGCTAATACTTAAGATTGAAGAAAGCAGCCTTCCTGGCGCGAAAACAACATCACCAGAATCCTTCCACAGCAGCAGATTTTTGGTCGAATATGCAAAGAAACGAAGGAATTTTTTGGTGCCTTCCGCTGATCGCAATGCAGAAGACTGGCGCTGATTATTTATTCCAGGATTCGACCCCAAACGAGGATTATCTCAGACTGCTGGTTCAACTTCAACGAAACTTAAACTGGAAAATATGGGCATTCGTCCGTAAATCATAAGTACAGTTTAGTCGACCCGAGATGCAAGCATGCACCCAGACAGTCTGCCACCAGCACTCGATGAAGAACACCTGGATCCGATAACGCCAAACAAAAGAATAGCTTTTCGACTAATAACAATTTTTCGATGGTTATATGCCCGAATTAATGTGGCGGGGCAAAGTACAATGGAATGGACGCTTTTAACGCCATCTTGCAGAATATCTCACGATTTTGGCTGTTAAAGAAACGGCGAAAATATTTCTAGTTAAAACTAAATTGCTTCTGTCTGACCAAGTATCGAATATATCAAATTAAATCAGCGTTCGTCGAAATTGATACTCCGAGAAATAACGGTACAAAACACACAAGATCTTTTATTTACAACAGTGAGAAAGTCTTACAATTTTCGGTACCATTTTTCGACCATATTTTTTCTTATTTTTTGAACTGGTTG